CGTCGACCCACTCCTTACCCAAGAGGTTTTATGGTGAGATAGTAGGTAACGGATCATCTAAACTCACTTTCGATGCAAACTAAGTGTTTCTAACATGAWTTCTAATCAAGTTTGGTTTGCTTTTGGATTTAGGAACCCTTCGGTGAACTTGGTAGCGCATTAGAACTTTGTTGTAAGTAGTTTCTTACTGGAGGGATTGGTTGTTGTGTGCTGATATGATATGGTTGTTTGCTCGTGTGCCCATGTGTGATACTTGCATGTCRCTTGTCGTTGTTATCATTTAGTAAACGTCATTGTTGATAAAACTGTTGATATATCTTGGGAAAAGTATGTGGTTGTGTGAATAAATTGTAGCCAGGTAATCCTGGATGACTATGATTGAATTKCTATTATGTTCTAATTGGTTTTCATGATGAAATTTGTATACCGGTACTATAATCTGTTGTTTCGAAACCGTATTGAATATTTATGAGAAATCGGTTGTGTTTGATGKATGYTGGGTATTTATCAATTATATTTTGGTTAAGTGGTTGATTGTGCTTTTTCTGTGAACGATGCCTGCTGGAGCTGTTGGATCATGTTGGACTATTTTAGATGAATTGACTTTTACATATGATCATTTTGGTGTATCGCATATTGGACTGTTATGAGATTGTGGATGCATGAGGCATGGCGTAGTAGCAAGTAGGACTCTTATGAGAATTTTGGGACATACGAAAGTAAGTAGCACGGGGGCGGGTGTGTGCGTTGATGTGTGTTAATAAAAATTGTTCTTGCTGATTTTACATTATAAACATGTTTCTCTTATTATTTTAATTGTTGGATAGGTTTGTGAGGTCGATGCTGTTATTGTAACATGCGGTTATTTTATATATTGGATATGTATATGACTGGTATTCATGTTTGTTGTCTGCAACTTTAGGAACTTACTGATATTGTATGGTTGGAAGTGATTAGGATTTATTATGTTGTGAAAAGCATGTTATGTGAAGAATGTCATAGGGTTGTTTGTTGAAGCTTTGTGTGCGCTATGCTGTGAGCAGGTTGGTTGTTGTCAAACTTTGTGTTTTTGAGATCTGTGATGCATTGAAATCATACTAGTGGTTGTGTCGTGATGAGCGTTGTGGTGGTTGGTGTTATTAGGGAAGTAGTACTGAAATCCTGGTTAGAGGCTAGAAATGATATGTGGAGTTATGAAAGTTACGAAGTGAATGGGTGAGTGTCAGGGCCTCGGGTATAAATGGTCGAGGGCTGATACGTCACTAATTGGGTATCGAGGCCTCGGGTATAAATGGTCGGGGGTCGATACGCCAATATTGGATAAAGATGAGCGTCGAGGCCTCGGGTATAAATGGTCGGGGGTCGATACGAGGAGTCTTTCGAAAGGAGAACTATTGGGGCCTTGGGTA